TCTTTCTTTCTTTCTTTCTTTCTTTCTTTCTTTCTTTCTTTCTTTCTTTCTTTCTTACTTACTTACTTACTTACTTACTTACTTACTTACTTACTTACTGGCTCTGTCCTTTGTGACTTCTATATATGTACCTGTGTGAAAGTGTATCAAACTAGGTAAACAAAAACTTAAGAATTATTCTTGAATCAGAATTTTTTATCGGTTAACTGAAGAGTGTGTGTGTGTGTGTAGTAAGATATTATTTTCACACTGAATGGGATAAATTCTGTTGGCTTGAAACCATTGTTTGGTACATGATTGGTACATTTTGTTGCAAGATCAAGTATATTTGTTGAGCTTGTGGAAGAAAACTCTTAACTCTCTCTACCCGTTTCTGATTTTAGGTAGAGTGCGCAATTTAAGTCCATCACTTTGGTCACTAACACACTTGACTGCTCTCCACCTCAATGACAACTATTTGACTCGCATTCCACCTGATATTGCCAAGCTTCATAATCTGGTTTACCTGGATCTCTCATCCAACAAACTCCGAAGTTTACCAGCAGAACTAGGAAACATGGTTTCTCTCAGGTGAATTATCTTCCCAAATAACCTCAAATTTAAAAGCGTTTTTTCTGATGTTGTTTTGGCTACTGTAATGAAACAAACAAAATGTTAAAAAGGTATGATATGTATGTAGTTACTTACCAAGCACATCTAAAGTATCCAAAATACCTTTACAATCCCCAAGGCATGTCACAAATTTTGAGCACCCCTAATGTTTAGAAATTGAAAGTTGAAAAATTTGACACACCCTACGTACCATATTCATGCAATAATTTTTGTGCTTTTGTTTTACATAATTTTGGGCGGGGTAGTAATATTTTTAAATTTGTGCTCTTTGGCATAAGATGGTCGAGCATTGGGGAAGGAGGATGACTCAAGTTATGGATAAATGTCGCTACGTATGGTAGAAAACTCAACATTGGACTCTTATTTTGGATAATAGTTTCTCTTCTAATGTGCCATTCTGGCATTTTTATGTACTTTGGAATGAGTCTAATATCTGCAAAACTACTTGCTCAAAATCTTTAAGAATTTCTAAGCATCCAAGTCAGGATGTTTATGATCTTAAAAAATAAGCTCAGTTACTGTTCTAGGGCCAGAGGTTTTTGGTTTTTTAAAAATCTTCTAAGAACTGGACGTGAATTCTTCTAATGTTTTGTCCTATTTTATCTGATCCTTTTATTTCAATCTGAAATAAAGGTTAGTCAGAAGCCCATAGCCTTGGCTACGTTTGTGGACTTCCTTCAGCTTTTGAGTGACCCATTGTGATAGCAAATCATAAACAGAAGTTGTTATTTTGTTTGTACACATAACAATCCAGCACTTCCTGTACATCTTTATCCTCAGTAATGGTTGATTTGAAGGCAGGCTTAACATAGATGCTCTGATGCTTTCTTCATGGTTTCCATCTCACCACTTAGAAAAGTATCACAATGAATGCAGATGTGTAAAACCTATTTTAAAACTGCCTTTATTAAATAATTTACTCTGGTTTTAGGGAATTGCTTTTAAACAACAATTTGTTACGAGTTTTGCCTTATGAACTTGGACGGCTCTTCCGGCTACAAAACCTAGGTCTGAAAGGTAAGGGGATAGTAAGAAATATATTTTTGTGTGCTTAAGTGGGCGCTCCATCACTGGAGATTTTTAAGAAGAGACTAAGAGAGACTAAGAAGAGACTTGAGCAGGGGGCTGGACTAGAAGACCTCCAAGGTCCCTTCCAATTCTATTCTATTACTATTCTATTCCCATTCTCCTTCTATTCCTGTTCTGTTCCTATTCCTTATCGTATCCCCATCCTTATTCCATTCTGTTCTCACTCTGATTCCCCTTTTGTCTGACCTTACCCCTCTATTAACCTCTTGGAGACAATATGGGTTGCCCTTGACTTACAACTGCAATTGAGCCCAAAATTCCCATTGCTAAGCAAGAGTGTTGTTAAGTGAGTTTTGCCTCATTTTACGACCTGTCTTGCCCCAGTTGTTAAGTGGATCCCTGCATTGTTAAATCAGTAACACAGTTGTTAAATGAATCTGGCTTTGCTTGTCAGAAGATGACAAAAGGTGATCCCTGTCATACATACATACCAGTGCCATTGTAACTTTGAATGGTTGCTGAACAGATGCTTGTAATAAGTCAAGGACTACGTGTGTGTGTGTATACACACATACACACACATATATACATACACTATATATATTTTAGCCTGATTCTTTATATCTAACCTTTCTGTATTTCTAACATCATCTCCCATCCTGCCTGGTCAAACCTAGGGAATTATGGCAGTGAAATCAAGTTAGAAGGGCTTCTTTTAGCAGTCAATTAATAAACTTCATATCAGTCTTGAGGTATTTTTTTAGTTGTTTGGAGCCTTTTATTTCAATATGATTGACTTCTGCTGTTCTGTCTATGGAATTTTTGCACCAACCGCTACAAATCTGTATTGTTGTCCAAACCTCAACATGTGTCCATATAGTTTCCAGGAATCAAGGTTAACTCGAGAAACACTTAGATTAATCTCAATTAGACAGATGAATCTCCGTTAGAGAGAGTCAAGCAGAGCTGTCAGGGAAGGTTAAAGTCATTTTCCTGTCAGAAGCAAGATCAGCCAGGTAGATTTTCCTTAAAAGAGCAAATGCTGTTGGCAAATGGAATGCCTCTTTGAAGCCCACAAGCATTCTTTGCTTTTGTTTCCTAGTTGCATGTTTTATTGTGCTAATAAAGCTTTTGATCTGTTTATCAGCTCTAAAAAAGAATCTAAGCCAAGAGGAATGTCTTCAAGGACAGAATTGCCTTTGAACAATGCTTTGAAAACTCCAGTTGCAGATAAAGATAGGAAAACATTGAAACCTGTGGTTTTCATCCATCTAGTAAAGATGACTTCTCCCCAAATAGTTTTAGTTCCAGCCCCATGAATTTAAAAAAACAGTTCCAAATACTTCATCGAAACATTAAGAAAATAAATTTCATGAAGGACAAAAAGCAGAAAGGCTCTGATTTAGAAGACAGAACCAGATAAATACAGCTTGAGATAAACCTCTTCATTTGTGGAGCAATGGCAAAATCTTTTCCTACTGTCCTTCTGATTGTGTACCAAAATGGATTTCACAATAACTCCTGCTTTCCTCTTAGTACTACTTTATAATGCCTTGTTAAGACCACACTTGCATCCAGTTTTGGTCACCACCATGTAAAAAAGATGTTGAAACTCTAGAAAAGAGTGCAGAGAAGAGCAACAAAGATGATTAGGGGTCTGAAGCCTAAAACATACGAAGAACGGTTGCAGGAACTCGGTATGTCTAGTCTGATGAAAAAATGGGCTAGGGGTGACATGATAGCAGTGTTCCAGTATCTCAGGGGCTGCCCCAAAGAAGAGGGAGTCAAGCTATTCTCCAAAGCACCTGAGGGAAGGACAAGAAGCAATGGAGGGAAACTAAGCAAGGAGAGAAGCAACCTAGAACTAAGGAGGAATTTCCTGACAGCTGGAACAATCAACCAGTGGGACAACTTGACTCCAGAAGTTGTGAATGCTCCAACGCTGGAAGTTTTTAACAAGCAATTGGACAACCATTTGTCTGAAATGGTATAGGGTTTCCTGCCTAAGCAGGGGGTTGGACTAGACGATCTCTAAGGTCCCTTCTGTTATTTTCTTGGTTCCCTTGTGTCTTTATGATTTCCCTGGGAATGAAAATGTTATCATGTCTCCTGGTTTGTTCTAGAAATGAAAGCTAGTTCATTAAGTTATCCTACCTTCCGAGATAAAGGATTAAGGATAATTAAGGGTAGTTACAGTAAATGTTAATTTATTCAAACTTAACAATATTTTGGAAGCTATTTCTTTTAAAAATCTTTCTTTGGTTTCAGGCAATCCTTTATCACAAGATATTCTCAGCCTCTACCAGGACCCAGATGGGACACGTAAATTGTTGAACTACATGCTTGACAATCTAGCAGGTAACTTTTTTTTTTTTAATGATGATACCAGCAATCTGTCCTACTTACAATATATAAGCTTTGTTAGGGGAATAATTTTATATTCAAAGTCCTCCTAGGGGGATGTTTGTGCTCTCTGAACATACTATATTTTATACTGAATGCTCTTGCTAAGAACAACTGGCTTCTTGGTGCCACGTCGGTACCATGTTTATATCATGCATGATTATGACATTAAATTCCAGTTGTTCAAGGGATCTGACTGTGACCCTCATTAACATCCAGACTTTTATCATTATTTCAGTTCATCCAGAGCAGCTGCCTCCAAGGCCATGGATTACATTAAAAGAGCGAGACCAAATTCTGCCCTCAGGTATTATTACTTCAGCCATCTTTGATTGGCAAGGTGTATTCTCTTTGCTCCAACTAACTCAAGGCATTGGTGTGCTTACAGAAGAGACCTTATACTTCTTTTTTTTTTTAAAGTATCTTAGGTTGCTGAAGGTACCTTGAACATCTAAAATAAGGATCAAGGAGTGAAAATAAGAATGTTCTTAGACCATGCTCCATTTAAGCACTATGTTAAAAGCTAAATACAGAAATATGTAAGGATTAGGTTTGTGTATATGGCATAAAATAAGGATTAAAAAAAGAGGTCTTACAAACTGTTGAAGATGAGAATGTTTTTAATTGTTTTCTATTTTTTTCTTTCTATTTTCTTCTCCCTTCTTTTTCTCTCTTTCATTTATGTCTGTGTTGTTGGTTTGTTTTAATTGTAAAATCAATAAAAAAAAATTTTTTTAAAAAAAAAGCTAAATACAGAAATAGTATTTAAAAGATGATAGCGCCAGTCAGGAAGAGCTTAAGCTTAATGGGACTCCAGGAAACCCAAATGATGCATCTTGAGTTTATGCTGCAACAGCATAAGCTGAAGGGGAAGGAAAAAAGCTTCATCAATAACAAATTGAGATAGTTCTCGGGGAATGCTCATTTATTCAGCAACTGCTTGAAGTTATAAGGGTGCTGAACAATTGGTATTTATGCCTCAAAGTTACGGCCGTTGCAGCATCTCCACAGTCAAAATTGTGGGTGCTTGGTAGCCTATCCACATTTATGATTGTAATGTGTACTTCACTTCTCTCCACCTGCCTTTTCTCCACTATTTCTGCTCTTCTGGTCACTACAATTGGATGCCCTGGGCTTTACCACCCCAGCTGACCCTTGCCATGTTCCTGCCACTGCTAATGAGACATGCCCAGCGTGGCTGTGGACCTGAATGCAGGACACCTGAGCATAGAATGGCCAAAGAGCAGAGATGGAGGTCAGATAGGCAGGTGTGGGGGTTTATTGAAGCAGAAGCAAGCACAGGCAAGGCAGGAAAAGCATGAGGCCCTTGCCTAACGGTTGCAGCCAGGACTACCTAAACTGACTGATAAGTGGTGTCGCATGATGTTTCACCCGACAACCGTATCACTTAGCAATAGACGTTCCATTCCCAATTAGGGTCATTAAACAATGACTACCTGACTGTTATAACTTGGGGAAGATTATATCATCATCATCGCCATTTAATGACCCCATAATCCCTTGCGGAATGGAGTCTGGGCAACTGGATGGAGCTAGGGTTTTAATGGCCGGATGCCCTTCCTGTCACCAGTGCAGAGTTTTGTTCTGCATATATATATATATATTCTCATTGTACCCAGAGAGAGAAATATCTGCCTCTACCTAGGATCAAACTCACAGCCTCCTGATTGTGAGGCGATAGGCCACTGCACCACTCGTTGGGGAAGACTATATGCATCAGCTTCAAGTTCTCTGGTTGGTTTTGCACCGAGCCCTAATGTGAGCTGCTTGGTTTTAGAATGGCCTAAAGACAATTACAGCTTATTTAAGAAACCAAAGTTAACCCAGGTGGCACGATGTTCAGCGAGGCTGCTAAGGAGTGCATAATTGCTATGGATTAAGAAATTAGAGATTATCTGTTGGCCCCAGCCTATAATGCGTTTAGCAATTAACCTTTGGTTCCTAGTGCAGCATTTAATTAATACTCTAGAAAGCACTGCAATACAAAAGCAAAAATCTATTTGCATTTTATTATTTATTTCCCCTTTATTATTTTTATAAATAACTCAGGGAAGCTAACATACCCAATGCTCCTTTCTCTTATGTTCCCCACAACAACAACCCTGTGAGGTGACAGAGAGTATGACTGAACCAAAAGTCATCCAGCCAGCTTTCATGCCTAAGGCGGGACTGGAACTCACCATACTGCAGTTTCTAGCCCAGTGCCTTAACCGCCACACCAAACTAACATGTAAAATTTTAAAGAACGTGGTACTCCTGCTTTCTGTGAAAACTGGCAGCTCTCAAGTCACTGTGTCGATATCCATAGCGCTGAATAAGGTATTCTGTCAAAAAAATTCCTTGACACACGTCATTGTTCAGCGCTGTTCTCATCATTGGCTTTCTTTTCTCCAGCTTCGTTTACTGTCATGTGCTACAATGTATTGTGTGATAAATACGCTACCCGACAGCTTTACGGCTACTGTCCTTCCTGGGCTTTAAACTGGGAATATAGAAAAAAGGGAATCATGGAAGAAATTGTGAACTGGGATGCAGATATCATTAGTCTTCAGGTAATTATAACTAAATTAGGTCTGCTCTAATATAGTGTCTGACTCACAAACACCCGAAGAACTGTTTACGAATATAAAATTGTTTTAAAATTTTCTTTCTTGGAAGAAAGGGACAACATTCCTGTTTGGCAGAATTACTTCATGCCTTTCCTCCAGGAGATAAAGATAGTGTACATTTCCACCCACTCCTTCAGTCTGTTCTCCACCATACTTTTGTGAGGGTAGGTTGGACAGAGAGGAGGAGAGCATCTTTACCCAGGGGACAGCTTGTGATTAAAGGGGGATTTGAACCTGGGTATCCTCGGCCATTTGTCTGAAATGGTATAAGGTTTCCTGCTTGAGCAGGGGGTTGGACTAGAAGACCTCCAAAGTCCTTCCAACTCTGTTATTCTGTTCTGTGCTATTCAGTTGTTCTCCATCACCTTAAATATTACAGTACACTGATTTTTGGTGGGTCTAGACCAGGGGTGTCCTACTCAAGGCCTGGGGGCTGAATCTGGTGCGCAGGGTGCTTAAATCTGGCCCGCAGGGCTGCCCTGGAAACAGCAAAGGACCATCCCGCGGTGCCTCTGCCAGCGAAAATGGAGCTCGGGAGGGCCGCGGGTAGCACTCCCAAGCTCCTTTTTCCTCTGGCAGAGGGTTCTGTTGCAACCGAAAACGGAGCTCGGGAGCATGTTTTCCCTGGCAGAGTGCTCGGACCACCACAGGCGCCCCGACACGAGCTGGCCACGCCCCCCAAGGTTAAACACAACCTTGATGCAGCCCTCAGTTAAATTGAGTTTGACACCCCTGGTCTAGACTTCTTTCCTTGGATATTTTTCAAACTTTAAGATGTGTGGACTTCAGCTCATGCTGGCTGAAAATCCTGGGAGGTGATGTCTACCCTAAGGTGATGTCTACCCTTGCCTAAGGTAGAGGTAAAGGAATCCCTGCCGATTTTACTCTGCTAGTCCAGAGTTCCCCAATCTTTCCATCTTTGTGGATCGGTGTGGATGGGGAGAGGGGATGGTGTGAGTAGTCGGCAAGCACATGTGCGCAGCTCCGTTTGAGCTTGTGCAAATGGAGCACGCGTGCATGTGCTTGCCTACTTCTTGTGCAAGAGGGGATGCATGCACACACTCGCCCGCCACTTCCACGGCCCGGTTCCAGTTGTCTCAAGGTCCGGTAGTGGGGATCCCTGCGCTGGTCGTTGCCTACTGTAGGGGGCAGTGCTGATCTTCATTTCAAGGGCCATTGAGCCAGGGCTGTCCAAAGATGTTTCCATGGTCATGTGGCCAGCATGACCTCACGGAGTGCTGTTACCTAAGTCGGGACCAGAACTCACAGTCTCCTGGTGTCTTAACCACTTGTAAGCATCTTTGGAGCATCATGGTGGCCATTTGTTGGGTTCCTTCTTCTACAGAGAGTTTTGGAAATACCTTTGAAGGATAGGAGGGAAAATAACTCCCGAGGCATCAATCAAATAGGTTTCAGTGAATATCTCAGGCAAGCCCTCTCTAATGCACAGGAAGTAAGAGAGGTAGATTCACATTTGTAACGTTCTGTTACAGGCAGTCCTCAACTACAGAGGGAACCAGAATTTAAGGGAGTCACCACATGACCAGACTTGACTTTATGGCCATTTTTAACATGGCTGTTAAGTGAAACATGCATTCATTAAGTGAATCTGCCTCCAAAGGTTCTTTGCTTTGTTGCTGTGAGTAACATGAGATGTCCTTTCTGTAGTCCCAAAGGTGTTTTTTTTCAAGAGGCAACTGGACTTCCTTGTTTTCCCTTGAAGACATATTTCGCTTCTCATCCAAGAAGCTTCTTCATCTCTAACTGTCATGGTTGTCCCAACCCATAGTGGGGACAACCGTGACCTGGAGGACTTGAGAATCTCCACAGACATTCCTTTCTGTAGATTCTCTACCTTCCAGCGTAGGGGATTTGAGAAGCAAGGAGAAGCCAAAGTCGCTGCTTTTTTTGCACAGCTCTCTCTTGTGCACCAGTAACCCTGCCTTCTTCACTTCCAGGAAGTAGAAACTGAGCAATACTTCACCCTCTTTCTGCCAGCATTAAAAGAGCGTGGATATGATGGATTTTTTTCTTCGAAGTCACGTGCCAAAATCATGTCGGAGCAGGAGCGAAAACATGTGGATGGTTGTGCAATATTCTTCAAAACAGAAAAGTAAGAGATTCATTCCTCCGTGTTTGCGGCTTGAGTGTGCAAAGCAGCCCTGTTCGTTCCCAAATCAGTATCTGTTCTGGCCATACATGCAGCAGTTCTGAAATCACCACATCCATATAAAAAAATGCTGAAGGGGGGCGCTTAGAATTCTTGGTAGTCACTTTTATTTTTTTCCCATTTCTTACAAATAACAGCCCCTTTTCCAGATCTTTATCAAAATGTAAAATAAAGAAACACAAAGAAAAATGAAAACAATGGAAAAATAGAAGAGGATTTGGTATGTTGTTAGGTTTGTTGTTATAGAAATATATTATTATATAAAAGTAAAAAGTTGAGGTGGTATGTTATTATACAATTATTCTTATTCTACTGCGCCAAAAGGAGTGGGAAGTCAGTGCTTTTCTTTATATTTTCCCCTTTAGAAACAAGAGTCAGTATAGATTTGTTTCTTTCTCTCTCTCTTTTCAATTGGTGATTTATGCAGGGATGTTGGTTTTGGTTCCAGGTTCACACTGGTGCAGAAGCACACGGTTGAGTTCAACCAAGTGGCGATGGCCAACTCAGAAGGGTCCGAAGCTATGCTGAACCGAGTTATGACAAAGGACAACATCGGAGTTGCGGTGGTGTTAGAGGTGCACAAGGAACTGTTCGTGGCAGGTTGGTGTTTGGTGTTTTCATCCCCCAAATGAGGACGGTTTGCAGGCTGGATTTTATTTGTTATATTTACAGCTTAGCTTTTCTCTTAAGCGTTTGAGTTTGGCTTCATGTGGGTCTCCATCTCCCCAACCACCACCATTCCTGCCACCATCGTAACAGCAACCCTGGTGGACTGGGAGAGGGTGACTGGCCTAAAGTCATTCTAGGCTTCTGTGTCGTGAAGCTAGTCTAGAATCGGGAAATTACATGACCAGCTGTGTAATTTGGAGACGGGCGGGGCTCTGCCTGTGAGTCAGTCTTGATTCACGATGTCTGCTTGGACAAGCCCCTGCAACTTTCATAGGAAGATTGTAGAAGTGCTTTGTGACTGCTCTCTCCTTCTAGGACAGAGGTGGGGGGGAAGAGGGAGGGAGGGAGGGAGGGAGAGGGTGGGTGGGGGGGGTGGGGGGACTGGTCCATTCACCCAGATAGCTTCACATCTAAGGCAGAACTGGACACCGTGGTCTCTTGGTTTCTAACCTAGTGCCTTAAGTAACTGCACCAAACTGGCTCTCTTTATGTAGCAAACAGCCCTACTTAGCTTAAGTGAAACTGACAAAGCATGAGATGGGAGGGGGACGCTTGAGGGGGGGGGGAGGAACCGTGCCACCTTGGCAAGCTGCTCCAAGGTCACCCAACTGGAAGAAGGAGGGAGCCGCATACCAACCTGGGCTCAGATTGACCATTATGGAAACATCTTGCAGGAACTTGGTTGGTGGGCAGCGAGAGGCAGACAGATGGGAAAGTAGAACTTAGTGATTTTGGAGGCAAATTCTCAGTTCTGGCTTTGCCTTATTGCTTTATACTTGGCCTTTAATAAAATTATACCTTTCTTAACAAATGGAGCCAAAGATCCTATTTACTTAGAAGCTTAAGCTGTGGCAGGTTGGACATTGACTTTACCCAGGGCTTTGCTAAGACAGCTTCCAGGGGAGAAGATCCGCTCATCACAGTCAGGAAGCAGGAGAAATCATTATCCATGTCTTTTCAGAATTCTAAATTGGGCTTGGAAGAAGAGGGGTGATATCCTTTGTAACATTAATGTGGAATGACCGGAGAATTCAGATGGGAAAACAGTTCTGTATTAACCTTCCTGATAATCTAGGTGGGCCCATGATTATTGTTAATTGGAGTTACAGGGCAGACCCTGCTAGGGCACATTAGAGCAGCAGTTGGCTGTCCCACAGTCACCATTTCCTCCTCCTTCTCTTCTGCCTCACAGCTTGGTTTCATTCTCATCAGCGCTAGGCAGAGGACTTATTTCTCTGCCCATGCCAAGACACCTGGTGAATCCACTGCTAAAACGGCACCTGAGAAGCCAAGGAACTCTCATGAAACAGGCCAGATGGATGGCCCCTCTCTGCTTCTGGCCAGGAGGATATATTTCTTTGGGGGACCTGATGATTTTGGGTGTGGGTCATATGCCACCAAGTGGGGAAGGCAGGTCCAGTATGATGCCCCTGCGCATCATATCATGCCTGTATCCACTTTGTGTTCATGGAGGTAGGTGTGTTGTGTCAAAATAGGCAGTAGGGGAGAAATAGATTGTGTTACAAACGCAACCTGATTTGTAAGTGCCTCATCTAGCTCTGAAGGTAACACTCATTGCAAATCTTGAACCCATAAAAGTTACAGTGCACAAAAGACGCACAAATGCAATTCCGTATCTCGGGATGAATTGATTTAATTTTGACAACTGTGCTTTGATCTTAGGTATGAAACCACTTCATGCAATGGACAGCCAGCTGCTTATAATAGCAAATGCTCATATGCATTGGGACCCTGAATATTCGGACGTAAAGCTTGTTCAGACGATGATGTTTGTCTCTGAACTTAAAAATATCCTTGAGAAAACCTCTGGTCGGCCTGGAAGCCCAACGGCAGACACAAATTCCATTCCTCTGGTGCTGTGTGCAGATCTCAACTCACTGCCTGATTCAGGTAATTTGGAAGCAGTTGCCTTGACTTTGGAGTTGATCCACATATTTTTCAAGAATAATTTTAATCTTTGTGCAAAACTTAAATATATTCTTAGAAGAACCATTTTCAGCATTTAAGACACTATGTTTAATTATGATTGTTACTTAAGTGAGAGGGAATTAAAAGATCATATATTTTATGCCTACTTTGATTTTTTTTTTCCCAGAAGCTGCCTTTTAGGTAACAAAGAACAAAATAGATCAAGCAATAATGGCATCTATTTTTCTTTATCTCAAAGTTTTTAAAAATGTGCCTCTACATGATTAAAGTTGATTAAATTTGAAAATGGGGTTTTATTAGTGAATGCAATTGTTTTGAGTAAAAGAAATGGATCTAAGCATTGATTTTGAGATTAAAATTAATATCTAGAGAATATCTGATAAATTAATAAGGTTGTTGCGATATTTTGATTAAGAACATGCTTGGAATATGTATATAAGAGTGTCCGAATTTTCTTGGAGAGAGGAGCATGCTAGAAAATGCATTTCTGCCAAAATAAATGCAGAATGATTGCATGACTATTAGCCACTCCGGCTTTTGCCAAAGTAGAAAAATGAGGTTTCAATTAGATAAATAAAAGAGTAATTGGAAAAAGGCAGCCTAAATTGAACCAGGTCAGCTGTGGAGAAAATGTTGAAATGTTCTCAGTATTGAGATGCACACCCAAATTTCTTTGGAAGTTTACTTTCTCCTGTGCAGTGAACACAGGATTGCAACTTCCCAATTAAATTCTGATCTGTGTTCTCAAAACAGCGTGGCTTCCCTTCTCAAAGTTATGCTTTGTCTGGCATATTTCTCAGATTATATAGATTAGTATTTTAATATTGGCAGAGATTTTTGGAGTAGCCTGACCTGAGTGAATAGGCGCAAGTCCTTGGTCAAACTAATAATTTCTCATTTGGTGTACCAGTTATTTTTATCCATAAACAAGAATGTGGTAGGACATTAAGCAACTTTCTAATTCCAGTGCAATAAATCCAGTTAGTGGGTCTTCAGTAACAATTGTGGCTCTAACTACTGAATAATAAATTTTTGTAAATGTTTATAATTGTCTAAGGAAAAAGAAATAGTTCTTGTGCTGTTGCACAATAAACGTTGAAGAGTTAATGGTGCAATTCGGTCTCTCAACTGTTGGTTATTCAAACCAGGTGTTGTGGAATACTTAAGCAATGGAATAGTGGCCGACAACCACAAAGACTTCAAGGAGCTGCGTTACAATGAGTGTCTCATGAACTTCAGTGGCAATGGAAAAAATGGGGCTTCTGAAGGAAGAATCACCCATGGTTTCCAACTCAAGAGCGCCTATGAAAACAACTTGATGCCTTACACTAATTACACTTTTGATTTCAAGGTAAGTGCGGTGTGGTTAAAAAAGAAAGAATCCCCAAAGAACTGTGAAACCTGCACCATACCATCCAAGGTGGTTTGTGAATTCCCAGGTGGGAAAAGGATGACTGCCCATAAATTTGTATAGGTGTTCCACATTTGCCACCATATTTAAAAGGAGATGTAAATTCTGGATCAGAACTTTCAGTCTGATGTTTTGAAAGGTCGGTTCATTGTTGCAAGTTCTCTTTTCACATTAAGCTCATGATGAGTAGAGCTGGGCTCCTAAATCTCCAGTGACTGAATTCTGCAGGACTCTGATTGGCTTACAGTCTAATCCAGGGATCTCCAAACATGATAACTTGTAAGACTTGTGGACTTCAACTCCCAGAATTCCCTAACAGATAACAGATAATCAGAGTTGGAAGGGACCTTGTAGGTCATCTAGTCCAACCCCCCCTCCAAGCGGGAAACCCTACACCATTCCTGACAAATGGCAGTCCAATATCTTCTTGAAAGTCTCAAGTGATGGTGCTCCCAACAACTCCCGAGGGCAACTTCTGTTCCATGGGTTGATTGTTCTCACTGTCAGAAAGTTTCTCCTTGTTTCCAGGTTAAATCTCTCCTTGTTCAGTTTCCATCCATTATTCCTTGTCTAGCCTACATGCGCTTTAGAAAATAGCTTGACCCCTTCCTCTTTGTGGCAGCCACTCAAATATTGGAAGACTGCTCTCCTGTATCCCCTGGTCCTTCTCTTTACTAGACTAGCCATGCCGAGTTCCTGTAACTGTTCTTCATATGTTTTAGTCTCCAGTCCCTTAATCATCCTGGTTGGCCAAGGAATTTTGGGAGTTGAAGTCCACAAGTCTTAAAAGTTGCCATGTTTGGAGATCCCTGGTCTAATTTAACTAAAGGAGACAACCACATGCTTCCTTGTTAAACAAACAGTTGCTTAACAACCCATTCACAGATACAACAGATCCTCCCAGATCTACTTACAACCCAGTTCCAGAATTCCAATGGCTGCATAAACACACCATAGTCATGTGATCACATTTTGGGTGCTTGGCAACCAGCTTGTATTTACAGCCATTTGCAGCATCCCACAAACCTTTGGTGTTTTCTGCCAGTTTCCAGCATTTAATTCCAGATTCTTACAAAAATGCCCTTTGAAGGAAACAGGCTCACTCAACAACTGTTGCAAAAAAAAGAGGTCATAAAATTGGGTTCAGTCACATACACTTAACCTCCATGACTTAACAACCATAATTCTGAGCTCAGTTACAATCATAAGTTGAAGACTTAACTGTACAGATGCCAATGCGACCTTCATGTTTCATGCAGTTACCATTTTTACTGCTTGTAACAATAAACCGTCATTTTATTACCTCTGGGTAATTAAACCAAGCCAGTGGAGAGTTTATATCCCTCCCTGATAAGTTGATCGAAGTATAAGCAAGATTGTCAATCTGAAACCACCCATTTCACCTGCCTTAATATTTAAGGGCTAAAAAGGAACTTCTTTCTTTAGAGGGGGACATAATGTAATGTATTGGCAGGTTTGTGTTTTTCTGTCTGTATTTATACTTTCTCCCCCTCTCCCCCCTCTCTCTCTCCCTCTCTAGGGTGTAATTGACTATATTTTTTATTCCAACACTCACATGAATGTGCTTGGTGTCCTGGGGCCTTTGGATCCTCACTGGCTGGTTGAGAACAACATCACGGGGTGCCCGCACCCTCACATCCCTTCCGACCACTTCTCCCTGTTGACTCAGCTTGAGCTCCACCCTCTGTTCCTGCCTCCCGTCAACGGCATCCATTTGCCAAACAGGAGGTAGTGCTGCTCTTTCTGGAGGGCAGGCACCCCACCCCGTTCATCTGTTTATGAACTTGTACAGTTGTAAATCAAAGTCTGTAGGAGTGAAGTATGGCCAACCTTTTCATAGCTGTTGCTTCATGCTCCTTTCTGTTTTTCGTGTGTGTTGACAGTACAATTTTGCACATTTCTTTTCGGTGCATATTGGTACCACTTGGCACTAGGGCTGGAACCAAAGTTGTTGTTTGTTCCCTTTTTCAATGGGGTTGGGTTTTTTTCTTTTTTTTCTTTTGGTTTTGTTCTGAAGGTACAGACACAAAGTATATACCGAGAAAAGGCAGCGGGCTTTACATGTTTTAACAGAGCTGCCTTAACGGTCAAATCAGAAAGGAGGGATTTGCTTACATGTATACATCCATAGCTAAAAGTTTTGTATTCCTCCCCCCAATCTTTTATCAGTCATAGCCAGATGAGTCCTTCCCCCTGCTCCCAAATCACTCGGTTTTTTTAAAAAAAAAATTCCTCTAGATTAGAAACCTGTATTGGCCCTGTAGGGCAGTGTTTCTCAATCTTGGGAATTTAAAGATGTGTAGACTTTAACTTCCAGAATTGATGTCCACACACCTTAAAATTTCCAAGGTTAAGAAACATTGCTGTAGGGAATTTGTAGATCATTGGAAATAGCACTTAACTGTTTTTAATGTTGATTCTGAGTTCAAATTTGTTCACTTCCCATTGAGCTGGCAAAGTTGCAACATGTTAGTCTTCCTGCCATTAAAAAAAAAAAGTGGCTCTATGCTGGAGAAAGCTTTTCCATGAATACCTGATTGCATCTGGCACTAAGTCACCAGGGTGTTCTGCCTTGCTGTACCACCTCCATTTCTGAACTATAAAAGCTTGCATGCTCCGGTCTAAAATTCACAGAATCACCTCTGTTGCACTAAGAGGCAAGGATGAGTCTGAACCTCTGGCTTGAAGCCATGTTCTCTACCCGAAAAGTAAGATAGCATCTGTCTTTTACTTGAAGGAAACCCCAAATTACAAAATTCAGAGAAACACAAGTAGCGAGGCAGATGAGCGAGAAGGAACCCACTATAATTGAGGACATCCAATTAATTGTTGAATCCTGCATTTAAAATCAGCGATGAGAATTCCTCTGCTAAATGTCCACCATATACAAAGAGATTCCGACCCAAACACAATCCTTTTAAAAAAAATATATTTTGTAAATTATAAAGCCCTTCCATTGCCCTTTTAAGGTTAAAAAATGTTAGTAGAAGTGAAGTGGGAGATAGATGTTTAGTTTTAGCCTCTTTCAGGTAGAACAAGCAATTTTTTTCCTCGGTGCAATTTTTTGTGTCAATACGAAAGTGAGAATAATGTTCACCTAACTATTCCCTCAGCATTTCCCCTGCCCCCTTTTTTTTTCTGAACCCTAGTCGCCAAATAGCCATGTCATGTTTTTAATTCTATTTTTGTTGTTGTTTCTTTTCTTCTTCTTCTTCTTCTATCAATTTGGGTTGGTTTGTTTGTTTTTAAAAGGGAACCTGCTTGTTTGTTCCCAGCTGTTATTTTTCTTTCTTCAAGAAACCTTAAGCATCCTCGCGTGCATGTTTGCTTCTGGTGGCCATTTTAAAAACTTTCTCTTTTTTTTTCTGGAGGGTGGAAAAAAACAATTCTTTTAATGCCATCTCTTTAAGTGAGAGGTGAGGGATTTTATCCACTCAGGACAACTGCTATTGTGATGGGCTTGAGCAAAATATTAGGGCTTGGCTGTTCCAGTACAAAGAAGGGGTACTAAGCAAGCAAGGTGGTGGGTGCATGCCCCTTGGAAAGGTGGTGCATCTTCCATCTTGCTTATTTTGATCCCTTGCACCTAGCCGTATCAGCAGAAGAAAAACATTTAGCAGTTAAGTCCTAAGTGCAAGAATGGGGAAACGATGCCCCTTTTATGACTTATGGGTTTCAACTCCCAGAATTCCTGAGCCAGCATGCCTCGGGAATTCTGGGAGTTGAAGTCCACAACCCACTCCTGCCTTAGTGGATAGAATTACAGTTAATTTTTCAACAGCAGCAACAATGGCAAATTTGTTTTTATGTTTTTGGGTATTTCTGCTTGCTGCTACACAAGATTCCTTAAGCTTATATTTTAAACTTTTCATGCACTTTACTATTTCTAATCTGAAAAAAAAAGTGATATTTTTAATAAATGAGATTTCCATTATGTGAATGAAAATTTTTAAAGGAGCTATATTTGTCTCATGAATACGCTAAAAAAAAAAAAAGGAAAAGGAAAATAAAGAGTCAAGTAGTTAATTTTAAATCCTAAGGAACCATCGTTTCTGCAGACGGTAGCCTTTAAGGTATCTCCTTCCCTGCTCTCCTTTCTGTTTGGCTAACTGTGTCTGAAACAACAAAAGGGAAAATCAGATCGGGCTCCGAACTGTTTTCTCATGCTTGTAAGCGGGATGGAAATGGAGCTGAACAAACTACTGAAGAACGCAATCCACTTTCAAAAGGAATTTGTCTCCATCAATTGCAACTTGCTGCATTACGTAGTAGAAGGAAAGAAATATTAATCAGAGCAATATTCCTTTCATAGGCCCAGTCGTCCTACGGCTTAAAACACTTAACTTTCTTGGTGGCTGTTCTTGCAAGTCGGTGTAGCTAACAAACGTCAAGCCGCATCCCCTGTGGTTTGTTTGACGTGGTATGTGATCTGGGAATCCTGTTGGTTTTGAGTTTCTTTTTGTGGCTGGTTCCAAGGGAAACAAGCTAGAGTTTTGGGATTCACACAATGCGTTAAACAAATCCCCAGAGGTGCAGCTCGGTTCATTTCCAGCTCAGCCTTGTTGAAGCTAAACAACACTCGTGTAAGAAAACTCAAAATGAGAGCTGCACATCAGAGCTCTCCTTATAATCTGGAGCAGGACTTTGATAGATCCATCTGGCCTTTCAATGTGTTTTTTTACAGATCACTGCCCCCTCACTGTTGGCTCCCTTTGGTGGAGGGGGGGGG